AGCCTGTCTAAAGACCTATAGCAAACAAATACACTGAAACTGAGATAAGACACTGGCTATASGTTTTGATTTTATTTTAACAGAGTACAGGTATGTTGTTGTTTATAGCAGCTGTACCGTTTTCCATTATTTTGTCATGACAACCTTAATTACAATAGCTGTTCAATATATTAAATGTGAACGCAGCTCGTATATGTACAAATCGTTATTAAATGGATATGCTTGATTTTTGGCCGCTATCATCATTATATATACTATTTTCATACTGCTTTTAGAAGTTGTAATTTGTGYTCAGTTTGATTTCATGTCGTATAACTGTTTATTTTTCGTTGTTTATGCTTCCGCCTTTATGAAATCAGTTCTTCGCGCATGTGAAGAGTATTCAAAATCTCTGTTTTTGATGTTCATGAATCATTTATCAACTGGCGGTACCATCCTGTCAACCAACTGTAATGAATGCAAAATTGTTTCGTTCAGTATTGTAAACAAACCTCAGTACAAAGCTAAATATTTTCAATTGAAAAGCATAACAATTTTCACACAAAATGAACTTCGTCAACAAACTTGTCAAAGTTTGTATAACATATAAAATATTAATTTCTCTCTGCAGTATTTTAATGGCTCTAAAAACTCAACAATCGTTAGGAACTCATTTTCACATAGTACTTCCCTTGAAAGTTAAAAGCATACAATAYATATTATTCCAAGACCTTTCAATAAATGTTACGATATGGTTATGCATATATGGTTGTATAAGTCCGATATCCTAACGGCTTGTACGTACTAGCTMACTCAAAGTTCGAATATCTCAATTTGCAGTGAGATGGCGTATATATAGATGATAGTGGTGAGCGGATCACCAGTAATCCCTGCGATGTCCAGAGGCGCAATTTTTTCGTAACCAAAAGGTTCTTATTTTTTGAKACGATTAAGAGGTTCTCTAAAAATTAAGATTTCATTAAAATGCATAACTAAATGCAATATTTAAAAGTGATGAGTATAAATAGCAGCAGTGCTTTCTAGCTGTGTCTATAACATCAYTAGTGCTTCTTCGCTGCTGGCGAGAAAGTCAGAGAAAGGTAAGGCTTAATATGAAGAATCCTACTRCAAGGTATTGWAATTTTCAAAATGAAAGTGGAACGAAATCTATGACCTCTAGAAGATTTTTAAATATCTGAGCTGCGACTTAAGACTGTTTTAGCGTAAGGAGCCTTGTAAGGCTCTTTTCAATCGCTGTAGGAAAAGGTCAGTGACTTATCAAAACCGCCCATTCGTTGTCATTTGCAGGCAGAATAATACTATAAGAAACATTAAAGTGTGGTATCAACCTGCATAAAACGAGAARCTAGTAAAAGAGAGTGTTAGATAGGTATAATAATAGCGGACATTAAATATCATTCTCAGTGAAGAAGATTTTAAGTATTTCTACGATTTTTAGTTTTTCTTTTAATAGCTTCATGRTGGTTGAATTAGGAAACTCATAAGACTGTCCTACCCGATGCTCGAGTTCTGCCGGATCTTGACTTTKCCAATAATGTGCTTTAGCATATTTTTGTATTGTTTTCAATTTCATTGGGGACAGAAAACAATGCAGCAAGTACGAACAAGTATGCACTAACTTTTATTGGACATTCTTTTTCTCTTAGTGATCGAGTATTGTGTGATCTTTGAGTGTAGGATATCTAAAATATTAAATACTAGTTTACAGTCAAAATTAAAATCATTTTGCCACTAGCCATAATCTTTAAATTTCGAAAACACGGATCGTTTTGACTTTGATTCCGCAAAAAGCAAATTAGAAATCTATTATGTTTACATTTGGAGTTTCGCGCGCACMGGGGCCTTAAAGCTTCTGGACATTGACGAACTCCAGGAAAAGTAGGGGTCTCTAAAGCTCCAATAAAATGCCTTTTTTTGCCAATTGCTTCTACATGCAGGAGAGAGCCAGATTTTGATGAGGCAAAAACAAGTCTGCATTCTTTGGAATATTTGATCAGAAACTCAAATGAAAAGCAGCACCCCATGTATAATAAATTAATCAATCCAAAAATGACGTACCGTTTAGTCAATTTAGTTTTGTCAAAGGATTTCTATCCTCCTGTGCAGTAATTACATTTTTTAATAATACAACTCAGTTTGTACTTCCCTCACCTATTTGAATGACAACATTACCAAAACTGATGATTCTCAATAAACTCAATATTACCACTTGCTGAATTCCCTAGACTAAACAGTGTGATTGAGTACGTTTTAATCATCACAAATCTATTATTTCTTCAAATGGAGCTGTAAATTGCTTTAGGTATAAGCTATGTACATCAACCTATTGTCAATGTGTGTCAAATGTACGTGCTTCAAAAAAAACACGAATAGTAAGAAGGAATGCTGTAAAGCAGGTGGGTTGCTGTGGTAGATAGAGTTTGTCTTACTATATCTAAACTAGTATACGTAAATGTGATATCACAAGACTGACACGATTATCTAGTAAGATAAGTGTTAGACGACACAGAGATGTCAATCTATATCATTGTTGAATATAGAGACGAACCCACATTCTAACAATCTTTAGCTATAGATTACACAGTGGAGATTGATGAGCTGTAGGACGTTATAAACACAGCAGCACTATGCTTTTAAAACGCTGTCAGATAAGGAGAAATGCTGATGGCCGTTCCCAAAGAATCGTATACTGTGTAGCATGTTCATGTCTCAAAGTTATAGAGAGTGAACATGCCACAAGCATGTGGGACTTCTCGMTTTCCCTTGATCTTCTTACTAATAGAGTTATTCGTATTGAATATAATCAATACTCCACTACCGGTATTTCGATGAGTTTGAAACTAATTTACAAATCTATACAAGTTGCCCCCCCAACCAAACGCCTATTTGCCCCTCACTGAGTCAAACTCCAAAAGTCACGTAAAGGATTTTTTGTCAAAAGCACTTCACACTGATGTAAAGRCAATTCTAGATCTTGTAAGTATTAGTTAAAATTAAGCGCGAGCATGCGCGTTTCAAAAATATCGACGGCTGTCTACTTGTTTGTTAGAAAGTTTTCTAGGAAATTCTCCTTAAAAACATACATTCTAGGAAATCTTTGTCTACAATTTCCAGTCTAACTCCTAGTGATAAATGTCAGTTTCCACTTTCAAGAATGAGAAAAATAATACTTAAAACCTACCATTTTATTTGCGCAACCTGAATACTATATTTCTTAACATTCCCAAAAGTAATAAATTCGTTTTTATATACAAAACATTAGTCGTTGATCATTTAAACAAATAAGACACCAAACACGTCTGATACTATCTAATTGATGAGGAAAATCTGCTTCTTTCGATGACATAACAAGAAACCACAGACATGCGCAGTAGAAGGCTAGTACGATAAGTTGAACTTAACCGATATCGACTAAAATGATTATGATTTAGTCTACAAGTTCTTGTATAAATAATCTAGAAAATTAGATTACTTTGGGAAAGAGTGAATCCTGTTATTAATTGAAGAGTGGTTATATTTTAAGTCGAGAGTAAGGCTGGTCATGATTCCATTAGCGATAAAAATGCTATTTCACTCAGAAAGTATAACTAATCCACAGTTCCTCAATATAATCTTTGTGTATCCACTTTAGACGAGACAACAAATATTTGATTTAGCTGATGGTGTAATTTCATTCTTAAGCCAGTCGCTTTCTTTCTTTTTTCTTCCGGCCTTTTTTAATCATTGTTTATTTTTCTTTGCCGATTGCGGCGGCTTTTCTTCTATTTCCACTTTCTTTTTGCATTCCTTTCGTTCTTGGTCAAGCTTTGTTGCGTTTTTCATCTTTTGATACGAACAAAAAGCTCTTTGAAGGATGGTTTTGGTATTTTTAACTAATCGGACTTCGTTGAGCAAGAATTATCAGTTTGCGGCGTCAACAAACAGCTGGCGAATAAAGTACATTTTGATTACTAGAAAACAGCATCGTATGTTTTCTTATACAAGAACCAAATAACATGATCTTAACGTTAATATTGCAATATGTTGTCATGCTTTTTGTGCATGAACATAGGATAAGTATGTTTTGTGAAGAATCTGGAAAGAAAATCTGCCAAGCGAAGTTTATTGGTTGTGATGACTGCAGTGGTCATAATAACATGACTAAGTATTTGAACGTTTCATGCTGATAAATGAGCCTTTCCTCGCTAGTTTTACCAAAATTACCTTCATTTCATAAATGAAGGTTCGCTATTGGTTGTTGCATAGTAAAAGTGTTTCTTGCTCACATTTGTGTATGGCAGGTGTTAGCAACAACATGTAAGGATTATTAACAAAATCTGGTTAAAAGATTTAGAGGTTGACTAGAACAAGATGGCATGACAATGCTCCCAATGATTGGTCGTAGAATTATCAGTTTTTCCTTATATTTGTGATCCACAAGGAATATAAAACCTGACCATACCTATTTGCTACATCATGAAGCACCACAACCAAACTAGAAGCCTCACGAAATACAACTAAAAACTGTTTTCTTTTAAAGAAACCAAGCGGTAAGTCTATAGATTTGATTCTTCAATGCACAATTACCTGATATAGAGAAAATGGTAGTTTTTTGTTAAACTAACAGTTGTAGTGTATTGAATTCTCTATATGCATAATAAATGCACAAATATGTTTTAGTTTGGTTTAGCAATGAATTAAAAAAAAGCTAACAGTACTTTTAGCACAGTGGATTTTTCTTGCGAAGAATGTCAAAGTTAAGAAACCTAGTAGTCGATTATATATTTTGTTTCAAATAGCCAGTGCACTAGATCACAATATAGATAAACAATTTTGTTAAACTATTCAGTATGATTATTATCATGATGTTCATCTGATGGATGTAGTATTTATCTATGTCTTCATCTTATCGTTATTCTACCCAGAAACAATAAATAATTCAGAATTGGAATGGATAAGACAAAGTGTTTCTAAGGGATTTTATTTTTTCTTATTCAAATGACTCAGTAAGCAGGGGTCTGACCTTGCATTGTGAGCTGAATGCGGAATACAAATTATATGATAAATCTGCGGGTTTGACTTCATGGCATGTGATATCTAAACTAAATGAAACCAAGAAGAGACGAGAACAACATCAACATTTGACGATCAAAATGATGTGTTGAATATAGTAAGATTCAGCATTGCAAATTGCTTGCTGTGAAGATTTGCTTGCAGTAATGAGAATTTTGCACCCCTTTCGCGCGTCAAAGTATTCCGGTAGAATTGCTCTCTCACTGTGATGTAATGTTGTTGATGATCGGTTCTTATGCGTCGTACTAGGAAATTGCATTAAGTTTTGATTGGAACGCTAAAATTCTAAACAAAAATTTATTCAATTTGTCGCTGCTGACTCCTGGTGAGAAATGTTCACAATTTACCTTTATATTCCCCGACAAAAAACTGCGAAAAACTTCAAAACACCCGATAATATTTCACGTTTTAAACAACTCTGAGTAAATCTCCATTATCATAATTAAAACTGATAGTGAATGTACTTTTTTTTCCAGAGAGATCTAATATTTCAAAGTGTTACCAATTCTACAAACGATGACATCGTCAAGTTACGTGATTTTTGGGATAGTAATTATTTACAGCTCTGCTGAGACCATATTTGCATCCAACGAAACATCCTCGTCTTCAAGGTAAAACCTTAACTAATCCAGGAAACTATCTAATCAAATCAATTATAAACTACGTTAACTCGTGGGTGTGATGATTATTATGATATAAAATTTGCGCAGCAAAATGTGAGAGATGTAAATTTTCACTCTTCTGTTTGGAATTCAGTTGAGCTTAAAAACAAAAGAAATATTTCTTGTTTCAATCAAGTTCATTTAGACTCAATTAAAAATGTCTAAATGTTATTTTTCCTGTAGGTGTTACATTGATTTGCATTTAAATAGTATTCGACACAGTGTAAGAACAACTTTTGTTGTATGAAAATGACATTAGATGCTATTAAAAAAATACTATTTCTAGGTGTCCATGGGTAAAGGTTAAATAACTATATATACATGGTATTGTGCTTAACTATATTATTAACATAACTAGTATTGAGTATAAAAAAGATTATTCAGGAGGATACCATTGAGATGCTGAGTCGTGGTCGTTATCATCTATAATTTATATATATGAACTCGTAAAACAACCAAAGCTTTCTTCCTACAACTAATTCAACATACTTTTTTAGTTGCTTTCACGATTGCAATAATTATCGGGCATTGTCTTGGGTCAAAAACGAATAGTTCAAGTTTTCTCACCCAAAGGTAACTAGATTTTTTCAACTAAATCACAAGTTGATTGCTAGCAACATCAACGATATATTTTGCATGTGGAACTACAATTAGATGGTGTGATTGGTCAAGTAGTGACCACTTTGGCCTTTCGTCCATTGACCTTCACCCTTTATCTTATAGTGGAGCCCAGCAAGTTTCAATGCTATGTACTTTGTTCTATAACTGTTAAAATATATTATAGAGTCTCGAATTAAAAGTTATTCTCCTTGTTTATATATTTCATATACTATAATCATGAGTGATAAATCCAATGACCAGTAAGCTTGGATCTTGCGTGCATTTTTAAAAATGATTTCCAGTAATGGGCAGTGCCTATTGTGTTCCTTGTGTCGCTTCTTTTTATTATTATCAGTACAGAAAATTTCGTCAGTTCAGCTTTAATGAAATAGGGTATAGTTTAAAGTTTTAATTTATGGTTTCATTTTGGTTTTTGTGGAATTTAACTTCATTTGTCGTTATCCATTCAGAATCCACCCTTTCGCATCACCTCAAAGCAAACGTTCAAATACAACTTGTATTTGTATAGTATACATACCACGTAAAAGCATATTACTTTTGAGAAATACTGAATCTGGTGAATAGAAAAATAACTACTGACCGTCAGAGATGTACCTTTGTATAACTGGACCACACTCTTTTATTACCATTTTTACATTTTAAGGAGAACGGATGATATCCTCGTAAAACATGAAGTATAAATCATAAGTAAAAAAGGTTTACTATAATTCTAATTGATAACAAAGTATGTTGCTTTAGTACGTCAAATCATAGTTTTCTTCTAGCGATTTAAGACTTTGTTTCTCAAACCTCCGTAACTCCCTGCTGTTATTTCTTCAATTTTCAAAACGATGAAAGAAAAAACGTCTTCGCTATGGTCTCGTTGATTGTTATTGCTTTAAGATGGCTTGTGGGAGGTTTAGAAGAAAACACTTGCAGTTCTCTTTTGAAATAACAATCCTCACATGTTAGAACTGATGTAAATTATTCAAACAGGCTTAGGCATATTTTACTATATTGTCCAATACCTCTTGTACAATGTAATTGTTGGAAATCCACGTTATATAGTAACTCTATTGTAGGTTAAGTACAAATATTTCATATTTTATTGTGTTCCGGGTTTTTTTGTGTACTTTTTTCCAATTTAGAAAATTTCAATTTACGAAAAGATGTCTAACAATATAAATTGATAATGCTATTCCTCATTACGAGGCTTTCTGTTGAAGCTTGTGAAAACCGCTTGAGAACATGTCGGTAAATGACTGACCAAGAACCAGACTCGGTTTGAAATAAATGTGCCGAACGAATAAGAAAAATATGTTTTCTTACTTAAGAACTTGCACTCAATAACTTTATCGCGCGTATTCATCCTCACACTTCAAGTCGGAAATGTTCATGAATTATCAACGATTTTAAAGTAAACTGTCAACGGAAACATGCTCGGGAATATAGTACGGTCCAAAAATGGCCATTTCATTGAATGCCACACATTGATAAACATATTGCATTTTATTTCACGAATATAACAAAATCAGTAAATTTCAATCATTTCTTTTATTAAGATAGTATATAAAAGTGATTAAATTTACTTACAGTCACGATCAATAATAAATGAAGACTAAAATGCAACAAGAATTTTAACAGCAAACACAAAGCCTCAATTACATTATTTGTCAAAAACTAATGCATTCTATTTATAGACTGTTATGAAACCTTTTCGTTTTACAAATTGAATATGCTAACCATTCATTAACACTGATCGATTGGTAAATAAAACTACTCGTTTACAATTGTAGTTTATGTATTTTTAACAGAAGAAATGTAATGATACTGAAGAGAGGTGTTTGTGTTTCAAGAGGACTAAGAGAGGATGGTCTGGGTACGAGAACGTTCCTAAGCAGGCTACGAAACTGCTTAATAAGAGATGTACATGAAGTCTACACAATGTCACTTTCTTCGTATTCTCTAGATCTATTCATAAAACTGTTTATTAGCAAACAACTTAGCTGTTCACAATTAGCATGTCATTTCAGTTTTAAAATAAAAACATCTCCCGCGGCGATTGCATAAAACAATGCACTGAAAAGAATAGAAACGCTTTAGATGCATGCGTTCTTCCTCTCTCTCCTGTTGTAATCTATATAGGTTCAATATTTCTTCTTTTCATGTCGAAATCCTAAGCAGAACCCACCATTCTGCTTGCTTTGTAAACTGAAAAATAGTTTTTATTTGTAGCGCCGACAAAGGTAATCCAACGACCGCACCATCAAAGCACAACGACTTTTTCCTGGGAACTGTGCATCCTGACTCTAAACTCCATAAAATAACTCATGATAATGATTCAAATCGACAACCAATCAAAGAAAAAAACACGACAGAGGAACTCTTGCAGACTATATTAAACAATATCAAACTCAAGTCAGATAGTCGACTGAGGCCCAAACTGGGACGTAAGTGTAGTCACAGAAAAGTATAAATATCCTTGTACAACAGAGTCAAACGTCTCTTGTAACATTTTCTCAGTCAAATATTTGGATCTCACGGCGAAAACAAACCGCCATCAAAAGTTTTCATGTCAATAATAGCATAAATCTTTAAAGAGTACGGTTTAATATCCCAGTTACCGACATTATTGTATTAACCTTTGTCGTAACCGTATCAAATGGAGTAAATCAAGTTGTCTTTAATGTTTTGTAGGAGATCCTGTAGTCGTTTACACCGATATGTATATCCTTGACATAGGTGATATTAGTGAAGCCAAAATGGTGAGAAATATAACATTTTTAACCAAACATATCCATATAAATTGTGACACACATTTTCCCATCGTCAATGTTCTCTTTGGCTTTAATTCCGCACTTTTGGAGCAGTACGGCCACACCCAGACTAGTATGCTGGTAGCCTCCTGTAGCAGCCGCTCCTGTGTCGTCACGAAGCGTTGCGTGACGACACAGGGGCGGCTGCTAAAGGAGGCTAGTATGCTGGCCTCTCGTAGCAAACGACGGTCATTGTGTGCCCTGTAATTTGATATATCGATCGATTGAATTTTAAGTATAATAGCTAATTCCAAGGAAAAGGTGGTTCTATATGCCACCAAACAAAGGTGACCACGACGTCTATACTCACTGACATGATGTTACATATCACCTTTAAACAAAACTAACGGTTGCTACTTTGTTTGTTCTTTCAAGCAATTTCGAGTAAGTTTCTTTTATCGCATGTATTGGAGAGACGAGAGGTTATCCTATGAAGAAACAGGTTACAAGAAACGCCTTGCATTGAATGCTAAGATGGTGGAAGACATGTGGATTCCTGATATTTACTTCGTTAATGAAAAAGATGGTACAAAACACGACTTAACTAAACAGAACGAGGTGGTGCGGGTATGGCCTGACGGGAAGGTTTTTCATAGTATAAGGTAATTCATAGGCATATTTGATGATAAAAACGTCGACTGAACTATTTATTTATCTATCAGTTTATTTTAGTTTCAAATGATAAACACCTATTTCGAAAAACGTTGTGGGGGAGAACGGCGAACGGCAATAGTCTCCTTCACGGTTACCTGCGCCATCTTGAAAGTTAGCCGTGCCTTTGCATCGAAGCGAGACGACCGTTGAGCGTGCAATGATAGAAACCTTCTTTCACACCTACAGACAATTATTCACAGGTTTCTATCATTGCAGGCTCAACGGTCGTCTCGCTTCGATGTAAAGGCACGGCTACCGTGAAGTAGACTATTATCGAAGGGAGAATGCACGACAGAAAGGGACTATGGTTACACTGTTTTGATAAACTAAATTTCACTTATTGGATTCACCTTAGATAGAAATGGAGACTAAATGGAGCCAATTTTTACCACAGACCATCTTACAGCACAAATAAGTTGTTATTGCCTTTCATCTAGCAAAACCCACGATGGCTACTTTTGGTCGTGCAATTGCCGTCCGACCATTGACATTCGCCATTTTATCTGACAAAGAACCCTTTTTTGAAATAGCTATATGCGCTAGTTTACAAATTGTAGTACATACGGCTTAGTTTCATTACGTTTCAATATACCAATTTCCAGATTATCAATGACTGCATCATGCCCAATGAGACTACATAACTACCCAATGGACAAACAAATATGTAGCCTGTCGTTTGAAAGCTGTAAGTAATTTATTCATATTAAAGACCGCTCCGCGTTCCATGACTTCTATAGCCACTAAACCGCCTTAGCCTCTTCCCTCAAGCAACTTCTTTTTCTTCCGTATCGTTTCTACAAGTAGAATTGTCCATCATAACTCCCGTACAATGCATGAATTACTGTATTATTGTAAAGTACATTTTGTCTGAATAAGTGTTTTAAAACTAACAGTTTTTTTCTTTTAATACTAACAGTTAGCTACCCTGTCAATGAGTTGAACTTCAAATGGAGAAAAGACGGTGGTAATAAAGAGGTGATGGTTTCAGATAAGCTTGAGATCCCACAGTTTATACTAACAGAGTTTTCTACATCGTCCGAGCTGGCAAACTTTACTACAGGTAATCACCATCTCCGACCTCAGGATTCGGATAACGGGGGTCGTTACACCAATACATAAGTCACGCAGCATTTTCTGGGTTTAAGTTAACGTCAGTATTAAACCTATAAGTCAGTGACTGTTGAAGTAATACAAATTATTGAAATAAATCTGAAAAGTGTTTTTCTCGGTCGGTGCCGGCATGATACCATTATCAAGTAAGTGAAAATTATATTATGACAATAAAGTTCTTTTTCAAATCAGGCTCATACTCTCGACTGACTGTCATCTTCAAGTTTGAGCGTAGCATTGGATTCTTTCTCATTCAAACTTACATCCCTGCTTATCTCATCGTCATGCTAAGCTGGATTGCTTTTTGGATTCACTACACATCAACACCTGCTCGAATAGGACTGGGTATTACCACAGTTCTCACCATGACAACCCTAACAAATAGTGCACGTGCATCGCTGCCAAAGGTTTGTCATCGCATTGATATGGCCTTTTTGTATTTTCGTCTAATATATATACGCAGCTAGTTGTTACACAAGTTTTCCCAAGTTTATTTATATGGTGTAAAATTTTCGCGTTATCCGATTGCTTCGCTTGTATTTCTTGTCTGGATTATAGTATTTTCTTGTTTTGTTTTTTTGATTGACAGGTCAGTTACGTCAAGTCCATTGAATGGTTTCTTATCATGTGTTTTACTTATGTCTTCATGTCTCTGGTTGAGTTTGGTTGCGTGTCATACGAAGTCAAAACAAAAATTCAAAAAGGTGTTCAAGCCGTTAACGAAGTGGAAAATAATGAACATGATCAGGTACGTTACAACTATGTGTCTTGCAGAAGAATATTAATAGATGATTAACAGATGATGAGAGATAGTTTGGGCGCTTTCAAGTATCGGAACCGTATCAGAAAATAGCTTTGTCTTAGAACCATGCGCGCGGCCACAGTGAGATTTTTGCGCCCAACCATCTTGGAATCGTCTAGTATTAGGCGAGCCATTTTTTCAATCAAATTTTACTTTTGCTATTTCTGACTGCATCAATCATCTCTTAGCAGGATCCGGACAAAGAAAATGCCCTTTTTCTGGCAGACAAAGAGAGTGGAAGAGTCAACAATGGTGAATGCAGACAGTTATCTAAACTTCCAATGAGAATTAGACAACGTTTCGGAACACCACCGCCCGACCATAAACTGGTAAAACAACGATCCTTTTCTAAGAAAGAAATCGAGGCAATGGAGCCGGTGGTCGATCGATATGCTCGTATTATTTTCCCTGTTTCATTCGTCTGCTTAAATATTACATACTGGATAATGACATACAATGCTTCACAAGCAGTGTAGAGGTGGTAACACGTAGCTCACGATATGCGAGTCTGTAGTATCTATTGACAGTGGTGCAAAGACAATAGATGAAAGGAGAAAGAAACATTGTTTAGTGACGTATCCAACTTCTCCAGTGCATTTCTTTACAGGATGACAATGTTTTTGTTCGTCCTGACATCCAAGGGAAATAAAACATTAAGTGACGAATAAACAATTCTAATGGCCGACTTATTAGACGGCACGTTTGCCTACAACCATCGCATGCAACCTGCGTACGTCGTCCTTACAACATAGCTACAACTGTCGTGGGGATTTCAAACAATTGCTTAATAGCCCTACGACAGTTGTAGTCATGTTTTAAGGATGACTTAAGCAGATTGCATGCGATGGTTGTAGGAAAAAGTTGTGTCGTCTAATTCGGCCTTAACAGGGATGCTAATTCAAGATCTCATCTCGCGCCAAAAGATCGACGCATTAGTCTTCTACATTTTTATGTAAAACATCCTTAAAGCCACTCAATAAAATAGTGCACCGTTCGCTGAGAGTAAACAATGATATTGGATTAATGCGATGTTGTAAAAGCTCCATAGTTCAGTGGATATATTACAAAGCTTACTGGCAATATGTTGGTTTCAAATTGAGCCTGGGTAAGGACATTTCTAAACAAATCTGAACGGCCATAATTTTTAGGATTTTTATAATACTAGTTCCATTTGCTCGCGCTTCCTGTGCAATACGGGACTCTGACTTAGAATAGCAAGCAACAATTATAAAATCTAAATCATTTTGAGAATGGCATTCTAACTTACCTTAATAGCAAGTCTCAAGCAACACAGGTAGCCCGATGTATCTGGAACTAGAGCGCATCTGCATATTTCAGATATTATTTTACATATGATCACTTCCTCATGTTCAGTCCGAAAGGGACAAACTGCGAGGGAAGAGTACTTGTAAAAGAAACTAGGGTAGGTGGGGGGGGGGGGGGGGGGGATGCTCACCAAAAACCGAAATAGATTCCTGGAAGAAGTCCTGTCTTATGTTGATGGGTGTGGCAGCGATGAAATTCCACCGGCATGAGCGATTGTTTATCTCGTATCAAACGAGATAGATAAACATCATTGACAAAACCGTTTAGTTGATATTTTTTAATCGTAAATTGAGCTGCAAACCTCAGCTGGTGGGCTTCATTCAGACTGCCTTGACAACTTCTAAAATGGACGGCAGATTATATAGATTATTTAGCTCCTTGAAACAATATAGAAAATATAACAATTACTTAAAGAAAATGTAGGTATTGATTTACTTAATAAAATGGCATAAATCACTCTACTGAAGCCTATCGCTGAATTACGACTTGCCAAGAATGTAAAACGCACCAATTCAAGACTCTACACATATAGGCCTAGTGTTCGCGTAATCGTGCCAATCGTCCAAAAATGCACGGTTGGGATTGTTGGTAATAGTCTTGAGGAACTCGAATGCAAAATCGATTATAGAAACTAAGGATTAGAGAGACACAATGACAACAAGTTGATTCTTATCACCGAGTCCAAATCACATATAATAGTAGATACGATTATGCGAAGCCTTAGTCTATACTATCAGGAGAGTGGCAGGGATAGTGACCGTAATGCGAGATTGATGATTTCGTGTTGCCAATCATGCGTCTACTCACAAACGTTTTGAAAAAAGAAAAACAAGACTAGATTTAGAATGTACTACCAACTATTTCTTTGCCCATAGAGGAATTCCTAATTCACAACATTCTATACACTGTCAGTGACCATGAACAAATGGTCCACTGCTTTGTTCGTGGTCAATGAACGCGAATATGGAAAGTCGTGAATGTCGCCTCAGTTGAAGCATACTTTATGAATGAAGGCAACAGTTTTGATTCTCTTGTGTGCAACTACTGAGACGTAATACGAAAAGTGGACTACTCTTTCACGATAAAAGTCAATTCTATATCATATAATTTCTATTTTGTTTGCCATTAGAATGGTTTTCAAAATTTCGTGAAAAAAGTGTATGAAGTGCTTCTTTACAAGACGAAAACCGTGCACAATAAAGATATAATTAAATGTTCACGGGTTTACGAAAGTCACCAGAGTGTATTCAATACATCCATTAACGTGAAGGAAATTACAAAACATTGCACTAATTTTGCAGCAATGTGGAGGAATATAAGCTGTTTGGAGGATCTAGTGAATACACTGAATTTAACACACGGTATATACTGTCATACGTCTTCATATCGCCAATGACACAGTAAAATAATCTAACTTCATCTGTAGCATCAAGACCAGATTGAACAAAGTTGAGAGAAATAATAGTGAGCAGAATACTAATGAATGTTCAACTAGATAAACTAATATTGATGTTGACAAAATCTAGCTGTATTTCCAATCAAGGATAGCACAGGAGCTGCCTAATACTTGAAAATACATACAAAATGGCCTGGACATTAAAATTAATGTTGAATGAAATAAAAAAATAATACAAAATAAAGATGATATTAGAAAGAAAAAAGAAAAAAAACAAATTTCACCATTGCTAATGGCACTAGTATGAATAATACTGCAGCTTATTATATAGTCTTACTCTAGAACAATCATGTAGAAACATTATCTTCTAGTAGCTGTAATCTATATTCCATGTAACGTTATTGCAGATTGATTATTTCTGTTCTATCGTTTGCGTCCAATTAATGGTTTTTTAACTGGTGCTTTTGATGCTGTTTTTTTCTTGGTAAAACCAGATAGATTCTTAGCAAACCAATCTGAGATATCTGGTAAATCTTTGGATTGGTTGAACATGTTCATTGAAGACTGCATTTCCTACAAAGAAAATGAAGACCATTGTATTCACAAGAAATCCACTAGAATTTATCTTACTTTATATCAACCACATTAATAACTATAATAGTTATTAATGTGGTTGATATAAAGTAAGATAATACCCACAAAACAATTCCAGTTTTCTGATTGGCTATTGAGCTATGGCTAGTCAGAAGAGATCACATTTATAAAATTGAGAAAAGCTGAAACAACGGAGAAAAGTTGGTTTTGTTTTTATCTGTCCCATAGTTTGGTAGATATTAAGATACTTAGACAACTCAGTTTTGTGTTCTAATTGTGAAGTATGCAGGGACATATCCAGGATTTTCATCAAGGTCTCCTCAGTAAATAGGGTGTACACCACAAAAATAGTCACGTAGGGGAAGGTATTAAGGGTAATGTGATTCAGGAAAGAGTGTGTGCAAATCCAGCAAAATACCAACAGTTACCTTTTGTGTTTCTGGATCTGCTGTAGAAATCAGCTTTGGCAAAACAAGTAACAATAATAATGGAAGCACCATCATGATTATCTAAATAAAAGAATTGAGTTCATGGTTTTAGAACAGTATTGTGACATATCTCTTGAATTTTGTGTCACACATAGTTTAATCTCTGCCAATGTACTTGTAAGAGACTACTGCAAGTCTTACACAAACCTACTATATAGTGTAATATCCTTTGTTATCCCAGCAGATGGTTTTCCTATGCAGTTGTACTTACCATAGGATTAAACAACATATCTTTAATATTCCATGTTTCTCGTTTCTCAAAGAACGGGGCTGGAGCCTTTGCTTTAAATCTCAATGGATAAGCAACCTGCACTACAGCAGAATTCTGAAGAAAGTTCACTTTACGAGCTCGACTTTTCCCCTTTGCTCTGCCACTTATGTCCACTCTGACTGGTTCAAATAAATAGTTTGGTGAGATAGCCTCTACTATGTAAGATCCTGCTGGTACATCTCTTATTGTGAATGATCCATCAGGACGTAAAAAACCCACATATATACCACCTTCCACGATAACTTTGGTCTCAGATACCCAATCTAAACATGTATCGTAAGGAATTAGTAACATGTGAAATCCGAATCAGAGTTGGTTAGTTAGAGTTAGGGGAACTGCTCCCCTCTACTTACTCTGTCGGAATTATATATAACTTAGAGTTGCAATGATATGCAGCCCTGATATGTCCACTAAAAGCTAAAATGTTCAAGCTTATAATCTTGCATAGATTTTACAAGCAAGCTAGCTTGAAATCAAAATACACTTCCATTATTATTTTGCTATATGAGTCTATATATTATTCGTCACCAAGATGAATAGTTCATTGAAAACTAAAGGAAATGTTTGTTATAATAATCGTACAATATGTTACCTGAGTTTTTTTCTCCAGAGATAGTAACTTTCCCTTCAATCTTGTACCGCTCGACTTTTTCCTCCGCCGAAATAAGTCCAATTTGTATAATCAAAACCAATATTATTATCAGCAAGTTATCAAACAAACCTTCCATCTTAGTTTTCTGTCTGTGTGGAAAACACTCTCATAAAAATAAGTTTATAAATATGCTTTTTTTTATCGACGAAAATCTGTCGAATCATGAAACAAAATGGCGACGTTAACTTTGAGTTGGACTGGTAATGACCTTTAATGCGCATGATCGTGTGTGTAGTTGTGTTCAAATTCGCTGGCTCAGAGAGCACTGGCAAGTGTGCAGGTCATTTCCACATTCCTTGGCAAATAGAAATTCCAGAAACCATGCGTTATGCTCCATAGGGTAGTTTCCCACTATTTCAAATCTTATAGCTTAACTACCTTTGCCCACAACGTTCAACTGTGTGGCCTGCAAGGCTCAGTTAGAAAGAGCTCATTAACAGTCAGAGATTGCAGCACAATGCAAAACAGAACTGACAAATCCACAAAGGTAAAAGGAATTTTTTTTGCACAAACAGATCACATGATCTCACTATAGGGGGGAGGGGGGCTTCCAGGGGGGTGGACCATTATAAAGCTTGGATGAAAAAACTCTTGTCATGTGGTAGATTTATCTCTTCATGATTATCATGTTTTGATGATTGTATGTATTACTTTTTTTGAAGGAAAATACAGAATGCCCCTTTATGATATCCCACATGGATCACTTGGTCTTAACTGTCAAAAGCATTCCAGAAACAATCAAGTTTTATGTGACTGCTTTAGGAATGAAAGAAATTACATTTGGATCAGGAAGGAAAGCTTTAGCATTTGGACAACAAAAATTAAATTTGCATGAAGCAGGAAAGGAGTTTGAGCCGAAAGCTGCACATCCTAAGCCTGGTGCCATTGATATTTGTTTTATAACCAAAACACCTCTTGCAGAAGTTCAGAAACATATTCAACGCTGTAATGTAGTCATACAAGAGGGTCCAGTCCAGCGAACTGGTGCAATGGGACCAATTTTGTCAATCTACTTTAGAGACCCAGATGAGAATTTGATTGAGGTTTCCAACTATATTTGATTGCTTTGTGATGCATCTGTCATGAATTATGGTATCAAAATAAAGATCATCATCAAGGGGACTGTCAATCAAGAGTCATCAAGTGTGAGAGATTTAATTAACTTTTGTAGTGTTTGACTGCCTGAGTTTTTTTCTAACTTTTGGGCTTCCTGTGTTGGAAAGAGCGACCTGCTTTGCAAGTTGCACACATAAAAGATGCTACACACATGGAAAAAGACTTGGGTGGGGGTGTGCCGCTGGGACCTCAAAACCCTGACCCAGAGTGAAATACTAATAGCTGAAAACTATACCCTGTTGCAGAGTAAAATCGCTGAAAACGATACCCTGTTCCAGAGTAAAATCCAGCACTAGCCTGCATGTAGACAGAATTTTTAACCCGTGAATTTTTACCCAGCATCGATAATTCTAGAATTAAACCCTGGTCCTTTTCCTTAGAAAACTTGTTGAAATCAATACCCTGTTCCAGAGTAAAAATGCTGAAAACGATACCCTGGTGACACGTAACCATATAGCGAATAAAGGGGAGTACCACCCTTGGGCAATTTGAATGATTTTGCTATGGACAACCGAAACTGACTTGATGGAATTTTAATTGAAGGACATGTGATGTTTTCAGCTTTAAAAAGCTTTTAAAGAACTTGACACCTCAATGTTGAATACTAAGTGTAACCAAAAATGTCACAATCCAAGGCTTAAAACAAGCAGGAATAATGATTGGGATTTGTAAAGATGAATATACTGTTTGTTGATATTGCTGTTCAGTATTCATAATATTTAACATGGCTAGTCACGATTCTCATTTTCTTTGAAATTTATTTGTGAAAAAAAGCTCGAGTTTAAAAGTTATATCAATTAATGAATAAAAATAGGCCGTTGAGCAGGGTAGGTTTTTTTACTCGTGAGACTATTCATCAAGGTAATAATCGTTTAAGCGAAATTTCTAGGGCAAGGCAATGTGTTTTTTTCAGCTTTGTTGAGCGATATTTAAGCTTAAGTTAATTGCCATGGACAACCGAAACTGACGTGATGGAATTTTAATCTGTGATGTGCTGTACCTTTTAAAGCTTTTAAAAAGCTTTTGAAGAACACGATATGTACCTCAATTTAGTATTGAATAATATATTGCTCCAGTTCTTGACTTGTTCAGTCTTGTGACTATTCGCAGCACTTCACTTCTGAACAGAACAGTGGTATTTAAGTATATTTAGTGATTTGAGATAAGCTTAAAACCACTAATTATTGATTCTCAATGTTGTTAGTTTTTCAATCAAAGCTGAGACTAAAATATTCCTGTTATTGAAGACTCTTATAATATTTAGTAACTAACATAAAACACTGGCTTTGACAGGGTTTTCAGAAAACTGCATGATTAGCAACATTTCAAGATCAAAGTTATCAAAGAAGATCTTAATCAATAATCAATCAACCGTTCCACAGATATTTGGTTTTACTTCAAGAATGAAGAGGGCTATAGCAGTATGCCCAGTTCTTGTAACATTGGGGCTACTGTATTGGTTGGATATGCATCTTATGTGTGGCAAGGATAATGTTACTGATGTAGTAAGTACGATAGGCAATTTTGTTCTCTAGTCAATATAAACATAATATAATCTGGGAGATTATACAAGAGAAGGAAATATTTGATGTATGGAAATACAAGCATAGATGATGTAATACATACTCTGCGAACAGAGCTACTTTTCTCACTCGGCAGGTGAGAAAAGTGTAGATCTGTTCGCAGAGTAATGTAATACACTTACCAAAGACACAAGCAATGACCATAACAGAATCATATATTTACAAATGAAAGTGTGCCGATTAGTTATAAAACATGTGTGAATATTAGAGCAATTGATGTTACACTCTGTCCATGGAATAAAATGTAGTTATTACCTTGAACAAATATAAAATATTAAGCAATAACTAWWTTTTTTTAGTGCCAATTGTATAAAGAGAGGGCAGTGACAGGATCCTTGTGTCAGGATATCTGTGAAACCAAGAGAATCACCTCCACAAAATGTATGTCAACAACTCCTGAWAAACAARTCTACAAAGCAACWTGGGATGAAAAAGAAATCATTCTTAAAATGGTTTATACTTCAGCAAATATTGAAAATACATTTCCAGAGTCAAATAATGAAGATGGCTACAGAAATTGGATAGCATCCTGCGTCAATATGTTGTTTGGTGACTGTGAGAATTGCACTAAACTAACTGCAAAGTTCATAGATATAGCGGATACTAACAATGATGGACACCTGTCATTCATAGAAACAAAGACAATTGTTCGATTATTACAAACGCCAGAGCCAGCAATGTTAATGGTTTTGAATGGAAGTAAAGTATCTCTTAATTTTTATGGCTACTGTGGCCCTCTGTATGCTGTTGAGAAGGTAGCTGTTGTTGCCGATACTGTATATGGGCTTCAATGGAACCTCATGGATATGGCTATTTTACCAAACATGTTTGAGCCTTTTGAATTCTTCTTGAAACAGGCTGTAGAAATGGCAGCAACATTTTTCGAAACTTTCAAAATTATTACAGTTTATGTTGAACCCATGTTTCACAATTTCAAGACATCTGTTTCTAAATATTTTTTTAGAATTCGAGTTCCATCTATAAGGGAAAGATTTACTTTTGTTGGATCTCACTTGAATGGTATTTTCAATTTGTCTGATAATACCTATGGCTTAGTACAAGCTTGTGACACCCATTTGGGAAACTTTGGATTGACAAGTGATAATGAGTTCAAAGTTCTTGACTATGATCAGGTATTCCCGCAGCATCAACTTCAACATTTACTGGCATCAAAACAGTGTTGGCGAGATGAGGACTGCATAATTGGAGATTTACAGGAATGTATTAGCATTTGCAACAAAACAACAGGACATTGCATTGAAACTCTCAACTTTCACATGATACATAATGTGTGTTATACTTCACTGCCTTTGGTGTTTAGCCATGTTTATAAGGACTTTCCAAATAAAAACCAAACTCTTTTGAAATGTCTTGAAAATGCAATCAAAGATATCGGATTGGATTGTTTAGGCATCCCACTTGCAAATAATACCCAGCAATTACGCTTGCAGATTGAGGACATCAAAGAAAAATATGTGAACTTATCATTAGGAAGATTTCATTGCAAGTTTTGAACAAATACTTGTTTTACATTTGTCAGTTATTCTATTTCACTCATTTGTTTGTTTACAGTTTTGTTCTAATACACAGCCTCCGTAGCAGATGTTATTAGCAGTTCGATTACAGAACGTCTGCTAAGGAGTACCCTGCGAGCAGAGGAATTTTCCCCTATCTTCGTAGAAGGGGGTGGAAAAATCCTCTGTTGGCAGGGTAGCTATGGAGGCTAGTTATATTTGAACTTTAGACCAAACTGATGAGGAAAAGCAAATATTTTAATAAATATGACTTTGAGTTACCCAATGAGCTCTGTATGTTATCATTTACATTAAGTGCTTGTATCAATTACTATAGCCATGCTATACTAGACCACATAAGAAGAAATGCTATTGGATATATCATAATTATATAATTTACAGTATATTATGGAGGTTTTGATGTTGGACCGTTTTATCCCTTGTTCCCCATAAAAAAATTGTTTTGTTCCTTGAAACTATTTACCCTGTGTGCCCATGTTCCTCAAATTTTCTTACTCTTCCTACGCCATTTTATGGCTCCTTTTTCTATTCATAATGAAAATAATCTCTTTCTAGTCATCCCTTGTGGACCTTTGGTTACTGTTTTGCTACCAATAAGTTCCATGATGGCTACATCAAAATACTTTTTTGTTGAAGGAATAAAACTCCAGCATGCTTTGCGTTGCTCAAAAGTCACATAGCAACAATAAATCGGACTTATAAGCTTGGATTTTTCATCTCTGAGCTTAGTCAGGGACCGCGGAGCGTGAATTTGTTTGGGGGGCTAGCGTCAAGGAGTTTTTAGGGCGGGTTCGGAAATTTTTGAAATCTTAACTCTCGGAAATGTCATTTCCAGCGATTTGAGGCGTTATGAAAGACATTTTTACCGCACACACGGTCAGCGATATTATCAATAAATCCCAAAGACTTCGCAAAAAAAGCTTCAATTTTAATTGTTCACGCTCAGTTTTTACACAATTTTTATAGAATATATATGGTAAAATTTCACAAGGAGGCTCTTCGCTTCTTTATTTAAGAAAATTCAAAATGTCGGAAAAATTATTGGGGGGCTGTAGCCCCCCAGCCCACCCCCCGTGCCGTCCTTTACGCATAAATGCACGTGCGTACTAGTGATATGACTGTCGCAAAGAAATATTAAAATTTTCACAAAAATTACTGAAAAAAATCACATAAAATTGATCCCTTTTTATATGCCCTCGAAGTCTCTCAAAACGCTGGAAATCGCCCATTTACAAGAGTTATTTATATTTCAAAAAATTTTCTGGGGGATGTCCAGACTCCCTTAATATTCCCGCCTTTGGCGGTCGTTAGACCCCCAGATCCAAACTATGTGCAAAAATTCATTCTAAAGAACTAGACAAGAAAATGTACTTTCGCAACATTCAAACTCTGAGGTTTATAGAAACAATACGTGATTTACCAGCGAGTGCTTCTGGACATTTTTCAGTGTTTTTCAAATTTGCCAAGCGTGCGTTTATAAGAGTATTTGTTAATTAAATGTTTGACTGCCTGAGCTTTTTTTCTAACTTTTGGGCTCCCTGTGTTGGAAAGAGTGACACGGCTTTGCAAGTTGCACACACACAGGACAGATGATGCACAAATAGGCTGATGAGTAAAGTACGTAAGCTTAAGTTCTACTTTTTTTACTCGTGAGACTATTCATCAAGGTAATAATTGTTTTAGCGAAATTTCTAGGGGAAGGCAATGTGTTTTTTTTCAGCTTTGTTATGTTATGTTATGTTTGTTATGAGCGATATTTTTAAAATTGCCATGGACAACCGAAACTGATGTGATGGCATTTTAATCGAAGGAGATGTGATGTACCTTTTAAGCTTTTAAAAAGCTATTGAAGAACACGATATGTACCTCAATTTAGTATTGAATAATATATTGCTCCAGTTCTTGACTTGTTCAGTCTTGTGACTAATCGCAGCACTTAACTTCTGAACAGAACAGTGGTATAATTTATATATTTAGTGATTTGAGATAAGCTTAAAACCACTAATTATTGATTCTCGATGTTGCTAGTTTTTCAATGAAAGCTGAGAATAAAATATTCCTGTTATTTATTTAGTAACTAACATAAAATACTGGCTTTGACAGGGTTTTCAGAAGACTGCATTGATCAGCAACACTTCAAGGTCAAAGTACGTTATCAAAGAAGACCTTAATCAATAATCAATCAACCGTTCCACAAATATTTGGTTTTACTTCAAGAATGAAGAGGGCTATAGCAGTATTATGCCCAGTTCTTATAACATTGGGGCTACTGTATCTGTTGGATATGCATCTTATGTGTGGCAAGGATATTGTTACTGATGTAGTAAGTATGATAACTGCATGTTCTCTCATCAATATAAACATAATCTGGCAGATTATACAAGAGAAATAAATATTTTGTGCATGGAAATACAAGCATAGATGATGTAATACACTAACCAAAGACACAAGCAATGAGCATAACAGAATCATATATATTTACAAATGAAAGTGAGCTGATTAGTGTGAATATTAGAGCAATTGATGTTACACTCTGTCCATAGAATAAAAATGTAGTTATTACCTTGAACAAATATAAATATTAATTTTTTTTAGTGCCAATTGTATAAAGAGAGGGCAGTGACAGGATCCTTGTGTCAGGATATCTGTGAAACCAAGAGAATCACCTCCACAAAATGTATGTCAACAACTCCTGAAAAACAAGTCTACAAAGCAACTTGGGATGACAAAGAAATCATTCTTAAAATGGTTTATACTTCAGCAAATATTGAAAATACATTTCCAGAGTCAAATAATGAAGATGGCTACAGAAATTGGATAGCATCCTGCGTCAATATGTTGTTTGGTGACTGTGAGAATTGCACTAAACTAACTGCAAAGTTCATAGATATGGCAGATACTAACAATGATGGACACCTGTCATTCATAGAAACAAAGACAATTGTTCAATTATTACAAACGCCAGAGCCAGCAATGTTAATGGTTTTGAATGGAAGTAAAGTATCTCTTAATTTTTATGGCTACTGTGGCCCTCTGTATGCTGTTGAGAAGTTAGCTGTTGTTGCCGATACTGTATATGGGCTTCAATGGAATCTCGTGGATATGGCTATTTTACCAAACATGTTTGAGCCTTTTGAAAACTTCTTGAAACAGGCAGTAGAAATGGCAGCAACATTTTTGGAAACTTTCAAAATTATTACAGTTTATGTTGAACCCATGCTTCACAATTTCAAGACATCTGTCTCTAAATATTTTTTTAGAATTCGAGTTCCATCTATAAGGGAAAGATTTACTTTTGTTGGATCTCACTTGAATGGTATTTTCAATTTGTCTGATAATACCTATGGCTTAGTACAAGCTTGTGACACCCATTTGGGAAACTTTGGATTGACAAGTGATAATGAGTTCAAAGTTCTTGACTATGATCAGGTTTTCCCGCAGCATCAACTTCAACATTTACTGGCATCCAAACAGTGTTGGCGAGATGAGGACTGCAAAGTTGGAGATTTCCAGGAATGTACTAGCATTTGCAACAAAACAACAGGACATTGCAGTGAAACTCTCAACTCTCAAATGATTCAAAATGTATGTTCTACTTCACTGCCTTTGGTGTTTAGCCATGTTTATAAGGACTTTCCAAATAAAAACCAAACTCTTTTGGAATGTCTTGAAAATGCAATCACAGATATCGGATTGTATTGTTTAGGCATCCCACTTGCAAATAATACCCAGCAATTACGCTTGCAGATTGAGGACATCAAAGAAAAATATGTAAACGTGTCATTAGGAAGATTTCATTGCAAGTTTTGAACAAATACTTGTTTTTACATTTTTGTGTTATTCTATTTCACTCATTTGATGTTTGTTTACGGTTTTGTTCTAATTATGGATAAACTGACAATTGGATTAAATATTGGAACTTTAGACCAAACTGATGAGAAAAAGGAAATGTTAATAAATATGACTTTGAGTTACCCAATGAGGTTTGTACGTTATCATTTCCATTAAGTGCTTGTATCAATTACTATAGCCATGCTATACTAGACCACATAAGAAGAAATGCTATTGGATATATTATAATTATATATTACAGTATATAAATGGAGGTTTTGATGTTGGACCAAATCCATCCATGACAAAAAATCAGTTTGCCCCATGAGAAGGAATGCACAACATTTCCTGGATTCCAGATTCCACAATATTGGTTCAGAATGCAAATCTTGACTCGTTTACAAAACATTAATTTGGAAGTCTTGTTTTGTTGGATTATATTTCCATTGCCGTGGATTCTGATTCTGGTTTCAGGATTCCAGGGCCAAATTTTTGTTTGATTCCGTATTCATGGGGCAAAATGTTGTATGAGAAAATATAGGCGTGAAATGTTCTGTGGGTCATCTAAGTAATGCTGTTTTATCATGATTAAGATGTTGCTATCATCTATGTCGATCATCATTCCAGCTGATGAAAATCCTTTTCAACCTATGGAGTAAAACGCTTGTATGCTGATGATTCTGTGAAGTAAAAATTACAAGTAGCCTTTTTAGACTTTTATGAAGCACACTTGGATTGGAAACACATGGGTTTAGCCTGATTTTCAGACGGGGCCTCGGTCCTACGCTTCATTCCACCCCCACGGTTCATCAATAAGCATACAAAGCAACAACCATATTTTTTCTTTAAGGGAGATACGTACCACTCCACGATGACGACATTGAGGCGATACCAAGGTCGTAACTACTGGCAAATGAGTTTGATGGTATCTCTGCACTTTGAGGCCGAGAGCTGCCATGATATTCCTTCAAAATAATGCATAAGTACGACATATCAGACTATTACAGGGTTTGAAGATATAAATGCTATCTACTGACATGATGGTCCATATAGTGAAAACCTGGAAGCTATAATGTTCTACCAGCACAATCTAGCACTTTACGGACCGACATTAGGTAGTTGAATTATCATTTTTTCTATTTTATTAGACCTCGAGGTCGAGTGGACTACGAGCTAATAGCCCATGAGGTTGAGTCCGCGAGGCCGAATGGGTTATTAGCTCGTAGTCCACGAGGCAGAGAGGTCTAATTGTTTTAGTATAAACATACTATGCGGTCAAATAATGAAAACAAATTGAAATATCCTTAAAATAATTTATTAATGAGATGCCGCCATTTTGATTTTCCCGCGAGTGGTCTATCACAAATTAGACCATTAGTAGAGTAGCCAATCACAGCGCAGTATGAGTGATAGACCATAAGTATGTTTATACTAAAGTATTTTAGACCGTGATAACCCAGACCACGCGTTAGGCAAATTTGAACGCAAACTTTACCTAGGCTGCATTCATTATGTATACCACAGGGGAGGGGGGAGGGGTAGACATCCCCCCTTGACATCCCCCCTTTTCCAGTCCCTAAATTTTCAGATCCCCCTCATTATTGTAGTATACATAATGAATGCAGCCTAAGGCCTAACC